ACGCATCGCCATTATTGCTCATCACATCCGGTCATGATGTCACTTCCACCCAACGGCTGCGTTCTACACTGATCCGGAAGCCCTGGGAGTCACTGGAGTGGCTGACAGCAGGACCTGTCTCTTCCATCTGGTGGACGGGGACCATGATTGATGACATCCACCTGTCCAGAACTACATACCTGTATATATTAACTTCCTTTGTGAGTGCATCTACTCTGAATTATAAAACGTATGATTGTGATACTACACTCAGATGGCGCTTGTCCTCCCTTTCTCTGTCAGTTTTATTAGCAAGCTGTCGGCTGTTAGTAGGACAGCAAATCTTCCATCTGTGGCTATAGGAGGGGATTTATATTTGACCTGGTCCCTCTTTAGAGACAGGAGCTCTCTCCTTCCTCCGATCACAAATTGGTTAGGGAGTATAAGCTTTTTTGACACATGGAGAATTAACCACTTCCCCACCGCCATATATATCAGAAATACTGCTACAGGGCGGAAGGGCTGCACAAAATCATATATGTATAGAAATATATATATATATATATATATATATACACACACACATTTTTGCATTTCTGGGTAGAGGGCACGTGCGGCCTCAGCTGTCGGTCACCAGGTCCTGGCTGGTGATTCCTCACTGGCACCCAGTGATTGCCAAGTATCACTGATGAGGGAGAGACCTATATGTAAACAATACAGATCTCTCCTGTCAGCTCCAGCACACTGCTTTGTATGGCTCTACATAGTGTGATTACAGCATAACACACACAGCACGCAATAAAATGGCACACAGTTAACCCTTTGATTTCCCCAGATGTTAACCCCTTCCCTGCCCAGTGCCATTAGTACAGTGTCAATGCTTTTTTATTAGCACTGATCACTGTATTGGTGTCACTGGGGATGTCAGTGACACCAAGTCAGTTCCCCCCGTGCCAGAATGTCCGCCGCAATCTGACTATAAGTTGCTGATCGCTACCATTACTAGTGAAGAAAACATTCCAGTAACTATACCGCCATTTGTAAACCAACTAATTTACACGTATTGGGATTTTTTTTTTAGCAAAGACACGGAGCAGAATACATTATGGCCTAAATTTATGATGAAATTGGAATTTTATTTTATTTTCACTAGACATGTTTAATAGCAAAAAGTCAAAAATATAGGTTTTTTTTCAAAATTTAATTTTTTTTTGTTTATAGTACAAAAAAAAATTAAAAATGCAGAGGCGGTCAAATACCACTGAAAGAAATTTCTATATGTGGGAAAAAAGGATGTAAATTTAATTTGGGTGTAGCGTTACATGAACGCGCAATTGTCAGTTAAAATAACGCAGGGCCGTATTGTAAAAACTGGCCTGGTCAGGAAGGGGGGAAATCCTCAGGAAGGCAAGGAGTTAAGCATGTGGAGAGGTGCAATGTGGGTGCGGTGACAGTGAACACACAGAGTCTTGTTGCAATAAAACTTGAACTTGTATTGAGCAGAATTCCAATGTTACAAACACCCTGATAGGACAGCAACGCTTTAGTGAAATAACTCACAGTTCAAACCAGTCAAAGATGTGGCTGAGGAGAGGTGCCGACAGTGTCTGTTTCAGAGGGTGATGTATTGCCTGGTCAGTCTGGTCCCAAGAGGGGAGGCTTCTTTCCAGGTTAGCAAGTCTGTTGCCTTTCTCCCTCCACTTTAGGAACTCTCTCTAGCCCTAGTTACTTTCCCTAAAAGCAGGGTCTCTCTCCCTACACTAGCAACTTGCAAGATGAGTGCCAAAACTCGGGAGCAGGGACCTATAAAGACCTTGCTTACCCAAGATGGCCACCAAGGGTCACATGGACACAGTGTAGCCAACCAGAAGGCTGCTCCCTTTGCCCCAGGAAACCATAGAGAAACTGTGTTTTCCCTGGACTCCCTCTCTAGGCTGTGGTGCAACTCGGGTCAATTGCCACCTACAGTGGAGAAAGCAGACTTCACCTGCCTCAAGCACCCCACCCATAACGAATACACCTTTTATTCTGCCCCACATAAGATGTCCTCTGGCTTGGACTACTTCCTCATCTCTGCCCCCTTATCACCTGGTCAGATCTGCTTCTGTTATCCTGGACATACTGATCTCTGACTCAGGAACCAAATCCCACCACTGGATTATAAATGAGTCCCTCCTTCAGGTCCCAGAAATCGGGATACACTTCCCTCCGCTCTGACCGAATTTGTTCAGCTTAATACTGGCTCAGTGTACAAGGCGTCTACCCTGTGGGAGGCACATAAAGCTTTCTTCTGAGGTCAATGCATTTCCACATTCATCCTCCTGAAACGTGATAAGAATCGGTCCAGACTCCTTTTACACCAACTAGAGGAGCAGCTTTAGTGCCATCCCAGTGTCACGCCTTCGCCTGGTGTCACTGCTGCAAAACCAAATCAGAGAATTAGATAGACATACGGGACCTAAATCTCTGGACTCATCAGGAATTGTATAACGGATCCAATAAGTCACACATGATGATGGAGAACAAAGTCAGAGTTAGGCCACCACAATCCATCCCCCACTGATCCCTCCAACAAGACGCTTCCCCCATTTACTGCCCTATACTATGGCTGGGATCTGTGCCGAGTTTCATCATAACTTGTATGACGGCCTTACAGCGGGCGAGCGCCCACCTTATAGTCCAGAAACATCTGATGGATTTACTGCCTCTACAGACACCCAAACTGAACTCCTCTGGTCTGAAACCTTTATCTCTGACATAACTATTGAGGAACTCATGGAGGTTATTAGCAAACTCCCCCTTCATAAATCTCCAGGTCCGGGTGGACTCCTATCAATATTACAGGAAATTCTCTCCAATATTGCCCCCCCACTAGACCTTTATCACTCTTTACTCAAGGGGGGATTCCCCATTCAGACTTTATGCATTCTTACATCACAGTCATTCCAAAGCCGGGTAAAATCCCACCTCCCCAGATGATTATCGACCGATAACATGGATTATTTCCAATTATTGGATTTACACAAAGATTCTAGTCAACAGTCTTTCCCGGCTCCTTCCATGACTTATCCACAGAGACCAGGTCGGGATTATCCCAACTACACAAGCAGGGAACAACACCCAACGGGCGATAAACCTGGTTGACAATCTCAACAAAACAGACGCCTGCACTGCTATTGAGCTCAGATGCCCAAAAAGGAGTTGGATAGGTTAGGTTGGCCCTACATGTTAGTATCCTTGACTCGCGTTGCCTTCATAGGCACTTTTTTAAATGCCATCTTGGCCTTATACTGTCACCCCACATCCCAGGTCAAGCTCTCATTCACCTATTCCTCTTCTTTTCCTATGAACAATGGCACCAGACGGGGGTGTCCGCTCTCACCCCTATTATATGTTCTGAGCCTAGAACCCCAGCAGCTGCTATACATTTGAGTGTGGACATTCATGGGGTGCCCTTATGTCACAGGGAATATCAATTATCAATATTTACAGATGACTTACTTTTAATCTTGACTGAACCTCATATTTCCCTTCCAGTGCTCCATCACTAATTATCTGCCTTTAGCAAACTGTTGGGTTACAAAATAAATACGTCCAAGATGGAAGCACTTCCCTTCCATATCCCCAGTAAGGCCTTCCCTTCCCTACAGTCCACTTATCCATACCATTGGTGTACTCGGACTCTCACATATTTGGGTGTTTATATAACAGATGATTACTCTTCGTTAAATCAAGGTAACTACCTACAAAGTGATGAGGTTTGGTATAGAACACCTGACGTTCTCCATGCCTGGAACCTTACTCCATCTGACACATGGGGGAGGTGCCATCAAGGTGAGGGCTCATTATTCCATATACTATGGCAATGTCCTACCCTCCAGCCCTAAAATCCATGCACGAGAGAGTTCTTGATGTGCCTCTTCCTAATGACCCCATTCATTCTCTATTGGGTTTACCATTTTCAGGAATCTATAAACAGTCCAAGGAATTAGCCCACCATATGTTATTGGTGTCAGATGAGTTATCTCTAAGTGTTGGCTCTCTAACCTCCCCCCCAGCTCAGCTACCTGATACTATAACATTGGTTCCAGGCATGGAACCCCTTTACCGCAACCCAAGCTGACCAGCTGGACCTGTTCAATAAAGTATGAGACACATGGGACCATCCGGAATACGGTTTGCCATCTCCACCTTCACCACCTCCAATGCAGGTCACCTGATCTCCCTTGGAATGACTGGTGACTGCATTGGTTTGTGGTGTGAATGGATCTGAACCTCCATTTGTCACCTCTTCCTTTATATCTCGGTTGAATATACAGATGTTGTTGTTACGTTCAGCACTTTGTTGGCTGTCAGGTATTATTATGAGACCGTGCCTGAAGAGAGAAACTAAGGGGTCCCCTTATAGAAAATGTGACAAGAATTCATCCAACCATGACAAACTCTGGCCGTAATTGAATGTAACACAGTGATTTCCTATGATCATCAGCTCCATCTAGAGACCAAAATGGGGTATGCATCCTGAAAATAACTCAATGAGTAAAAATATCTCAATATTGCATTATGGCCACTAGATGGAGCCATGGAGCCAAGGAAATCAGCTTGAGATAAAATACACCCAATATTCATCCCAGCTGGGTCACATACATTCACATTGTTTTCTTTTACACAGACCTCCAAGTGTTTGTGAAATCTCCCACCACAAAATGTACTCAGAAAATGAAAGGTGATGACTCCATTTTTATTCTTCTGCTATCAATGGCCAACCCAGTCCCACACTTCATCCATGTCTTAGGGGACCTCTGATCTCCCCTATGAACTGTATCTTCCATGAGGAAGATCAGCCATGGAGTATATCTGAGGTGTATATCAGGGTGTGCTTCTTCCCCACATGAGAGCTGGGATGTCCAGCAACATTCATCTAGAAGACATTTCCCGCACTCAAGGCACTAATACACCTCCAGGGTTGTGTGGGACCCCTGATGTACAGGAAGACAGGACTTCAGTGAGGAACATTTTCCTCACTCAGGAGAGGAAAGTGGCTTCTTCCCAGTGTGCAATCTCTGATGTCTGTAAAAACTGGAACTTACATGAAAAACATTTCCCGCACTCAGAACAGGAATATGGCTTCTCGCCCGTGTGAGATCGTTGATGCATGTAAAGAGTGGACTTACGTGAAAAAAATTTCCCGCACTCAGGACAGGAAAGTGGTTTCTCTCCCGTGTGAGATCTCTGATGTCTGTAAAGACTGGACTTACATGAAAAACATTTCCCGCACTCAGAACAAGAAAATGGCTTCTCCCCGTGTGAGATCTCTGATGCTTGCAAAGACTTGACTTCTCTGAAAAACATTTCCCACACTCAGGACAAGAAAGTGGCTTCTCCCCAGTGTGAGATCTCTGATGTCTGTAAAGATCAGACTTTTGTGAAAAACATTTCCCGCACTCAGGACAGGAATATGGCTTTTTCACCCGTGTGAAACCTCTGATGTCTGTGATAAAAGGACTTGTTTGAAAAACATTTCCCGCACTCAGAACATGAGTATGGGTTTTTCCCCCGTGTGAAGCCTTTGATGTGTGACAAGATCTGATTTAAGTATAAAACATTTTTCACACTCAGAACAGGAATATGGCTTTTCTCCTGTGTGAGATCGTATGTGGACATTAAGACCATACTTAGAACAGAAACATTTCCCGCACTCAGGACAGGAATAAGGCTTCTCTCCTGTGTGAGATCTTATATGGACAATAAGGCAATATTTCAAGGGGAAACATTTCCACACTCAGGACAGGAAAAAGGCTTCCCACCTGTGTGAGATCTTTTATGGATATTAAGACCAGATTTGTAACGGAAACACTTCCCGCACTCAGGGCAGGAATACGGCTTCTCCCCCGTGTGAGATCTTTTATGCACATTAAGATGGAATTTATAATGGAAACCCTTCCCGCACTCAGTACAGGAGAAGCTCTTCCCTGTTGGAAGGCCGGCCCGGTCCCGCACAGTCTGAGGTTCCTCAGGATACGAGGAATCCGATGGTCCATCTACACTGGGTGGTGTCGGATGGACATTGGAGGGAGCCGGGTTTTCTCCTGGACTATACTGTGTGATGTCCTCATCTTCTACTTTCCAGTCTGGAGACAAAGTGAGACAATCTTCGGAGGTTTTCCTCATCTCCCGGCCATGGACTAAAATACAAAGACAAAGAGGATTAATAGACAGGAGCTGATTGGTTCCCCCAAACCAGGACTCCACCCACATCAGACAGCTTGGTCTCTGAGGAGCCTACAATTCCACCCTCAAGGGAACTAGGAAATGGCTCCTCTGATCTCCTACCAGGTCATTTCTTATTCATGGACCTTAGTCAGAGAGTGAGGAGACAACCAGAACTGTCTTTTATAGGAGGGACAGTGATGAGGGGATTATAGGACGAGGGTCCCCCACCCCCCTCTATCACTCATCGCCATCTTCCCAACACAAGAAGTACTGCACTTCCTTATTTACTCCATGATTTAGTCATGAAGAACAGCGGGGCTGAGCCCCACCAGAGGTCAGAGACTGAGGATGGGGGGAGAACAACCAAGATGAAGACTGGACTGATCCTGAAGACCACCATCATTGGGGTATTGACTCCTCCCCCTCATTAAAAGTCTGTGATCCAATCAAAACACTGCATACAAAATGTCCAGCAGGTAGAAAATGGGTATAACAATGAGAGTACATATTATGTTTATATATAGCAGTGGGGGAGGGTGGAGAACAGAAGTCAGAACTATGTAAAGTACAAGATAATGTATAACATACAGCAGATAGGACTATATAGTATCAGAATGATATATATAAGTATATATACAGTATGAATATATAGTGCAGGGGTCAGGAGTATGTAATGTACAAAATAGAGTATATAGTGCAGGGGTCAGGAGGATGTAATGTACAACATAGAGTATATAGTGCAGGGGTCAGGAGTATGTAATGTACAACATAGAGTATATAGTGCAGGGGTCAGGAGTATGTAATGTACACCATAGAGTATATAGTGCAGGGGTCAGGAGTATGTAATGTACAACATAGAGTATATAGTGCAGGGGTCAGGAGTATGTAATGTACACCATAGAGTATATAGTGCAGGGGTCAGGAGTATGTAATGCACAGCATAGAGTATATAGTGCAGGGTCAGGAGTATGTAATGTACAATATAAATTATACAGTGTAAGGGTCAGGACTCATAATATTGGTATTCAGCAATCAGTGGAAGATTAAATGTTTACTGTAGACAAGTTGCAGAGATCCCACACCGCTGCCTCCCATCTCCTGAGACTGCACTCAGTGACTTGGGTCTGAGACACTACAGACATATCCCTCCACCCGGCACAGCCAGCAGATAACAGAGAAGGTCCCCTGGAGGAGTCAGGCACAAGGCAGGAGACCCCAGTCACATGTCCTGGGTGCCTACATTATGCAATGCTTAGAGTAAAAAATCAACATTTTGCTGCCAGCTGAACCCCAGAACCTCCATAAATCCAGTCTAGAGACATAAATTGTGTCTGCAGCACAGAGAAGGAAGATTATCCGAGAGAAATCCAGGAATACAGGACGGGGAACACAGCTCAGGAAAGTGACCAGGGGATTACAGGCTGATATCACCCAGTCCCCGCCCTACTCTGGACCAATCAGTGAGCAGTATGGGTGGAGGAATGGATTTAGTGTTCATGACCCACCTGTGCTGATCTCTGTAGGAGTGTCCTCCTCTATAAATGTCCCCGTTATTCCATCCTCCTCCATAGACTGCTGATCATCCCTCACATACGCCTCTTCTTCTTCTGCTTTCACCTCAAATTCTATATCGATTGGATCTCCACTCTAAATCAAGGAAATGAGAGAAAATATCATCTGTAAAATGTAAGGTCACATAAAAATCCACACATTGTCTCCACAAGTCCATGTTCTAGATGATCCATCCCAATAACCTTGAAATAGTGAGGGATGGTGTGACCTTCCTGTGTGGAATCCCGGGAATACAGAGGACGGGGACATCTCTCTGGTGGGTTCCTGTAGCTGGATGACTCCACCATGGTGTCCTGGTACAGATCTTTGTGTTCTTTTAGAAGCTCTGACTCCTCCATCCCCCCATCCTCATCCTCCTCCTCTTTTATCTCTTCCTTAACCTCAACTTTAGGATCTCTCAGGTTTCCACTCTGAATATATAATAATAATGACATCAATGGTAACAATGCAGATAATGTACAGATCCTAATGATACTATCAGTGATTGTTCCTCATCTACCTGATGATGGTGAGGGATGGTGTGACCTTCCTGTGTGGAATCCCGGGAATACAGAGGACGGGGACATCTCTCTGGTGGGTTCCCATGACTGGATCCATCTGTAGGAAAACACACACACTGACTGAATCCATTGTTTCTATGTGTTTATCAGATGATGGGGGATCTAGGTGGATCCTCCGTACTGCTCTCTCCTTTACAATAAAGTCTCCTCTTACCCGGTGATGTGAGGGGCGGGCTGATTGTCCATCATGACGTCCTTGTAGAGATCCTTGTGTCCTTCTAAATACTCCCACTCCTCCATGGAGAAATAGACAGTGACACCCTGACACCTTATAGGAACCTGACACACACAATGATACAGTCACCATCCAGACACATCCCTTGTCTGTTACTGGAGAATGTCCCAGAATTCCCGGCACCGCTCACCTCTCCTGTCAGCAGCTCAGTGATCTCTCTGGTGACTTCTAGAATCTTCTTCTTCTTTCTCTCTTCTATCAGGGAGGGAGGTGGAGGCAATGTGATGTCATATGATCTCCAGACTTCACAGGAGGAAAACTCTACATCTGAACACAAATAGTCACATCAAATGATATTCCCAGAATCCTCCTCACCTCTCCATTCAGGTCTCCATTACATTAAAGCCCCACTTCAGGCTGAGGTATAATTCCCCCCCACAGGACCCCCACACTACGCAGGGTATAGGCTTGTTGCAGCATTCTGATGTCATTACATACAACGCAGGACCAACAGTCCCACTTTACATGTGAGGATACCAAGGGACCCCACATCCTAAGAGCATCAGAAAAAAGTCAGATGGAGGGACATTGGGGGAGGAGCTGTGAGGTCAGTGTGATGTCATAGGATTCTCTGACTCCGGATGGAGGGGACATTGGGAAGGGGAGCTGTGAGGTCAGTGTGATGTCATAGGATTCTCTGACTCCGGATGGAGGGACATTGGGAGGAGGAGCTGTGAGGTCAGTGTGATGTCACAGGATTCTCTGACTCCGGATGGAGGGACATTGGGAGGAGGAGCTGTGAGGTCAGTGTGATGTCATAGGATTCTCTGACTCCAGATGGAGGGACATTGGGAGGGGGAGCTGTGAGGTCAGTGTGATGTCATAGGAATCTCTGACTCCGGATGGAGGGACATTGGGAGGGGGAGCTGTGAGGTCAGTGTGATGTCATAGGAATCTCTGACTCGGATGGGGGGGACATTGGGAGGAGGAGAGCTGTGAGGTCAGTGTGATGTCATAGGACATATAGACTCTGGATGGAGGGACATTTGGATGGGGAGATTTGAGGGGTCCTCTATATGAGGCTCCCATGCAAACCAAATCCTTGTTCCTGGGTGTGTCCTACCTCTCCTAAACTGAAGAGTGACCTTTGACCTTTACCATCCAGAAATCTGTCCGGAATCTGTGGAAGTAAGCTGTCATGTGATCAGGTGACGTGCGGAGGAACGGAGTGTAAATAGCAGACAATTGTCTCCAGAGCCCCTAATGGTGGGGATGGATTTGGCGGCGTGCTGGTGCCAAGTTTCCTCCCCCCAGGGTCACTGCAGGTGTGGAGAAAAGCTGTGTAAGAGGATATGGAGGAGAGATGAGGAGGAGATCCAGGAATCAGGAGAAAGGTCAGGGCAAGCAACAGACGAGCGCATCCAAGAGACCAAGCCGGGGTCACTACACAGAAAATCAATCCAAGGAAACAACAGGCAGGACGAGGAATAGCAAGAAGGAGCTGAGAGACAAATGAGAATATTGCTCAGCCAATGGGAGATGATCTCAGCATGACTTCCATCATGAAGGAGATGAGGGGGAGGGGAGGAAGTCACTGAAGGTGACCATAGATCCATGGAAATTCAGCTGGTTCAGCAGGGATCGCTCACATTTCCATCCATGTGTGGCCACTGCCGGATAAAAGCCACTCCCCCAGCGGCTGCAGCCAATAGCTTCAGTGCTGATCTGTGTATTCTGAGAGCGGAGGAGTCCCCCCATTGTCAGAATACAAGAGTGCAGCGGGGAGGATTCCCCCCTCCACCTCCAATGTGTGGATGGGGGAATCACTTCAGTTTTTTATGATCATCCCGCTGGCTGAACGATAAAACTGAACCATGTAGGCCAGCTTTGGGAGCAAATATATTATCATCAACTCTCCCCCTGAAGGGGTTCATCTTAAGGGGTTTTTCTCTCTGCCTGGACTATCCGTGAATCTCCCTATTTTCCCTGCCTGGACTATCCGTGAATCTCCCTCCTTTCCCTGCCTGGACTATCCATGAATCTCCCTATTTTCCCTGCCTGGACTATTCGTGAATCTCCCTCCTTTCCCTGCCTGGACTATCCGTGAATCTCCCTCCTTTCCCTGCCTGGACTATCCATGAATCTCCCTATTTTCCCTGCCTGGACTATCCGTGAATCTCCCTCCTTTCCCTGCCTGGACTATCCATGAATCTCCCTCCTTTCCCTGCCTGGACTATCCGTGAATATCCCTCCTTTCCCTGCCTGGACTATCCATGAATCTCCCTACTTTCCCTGCCTGGACTGTCCGTGAATCTCCCTCCTTTCCCTGCCTGGACTGTCCGTGAATCTCCCTATTTTCCCTGCCTGGACTATCCATGAATCTCCCTATTTTCCCTGCCTGGACTATCCGTGAATATCCCTCCTTTCCCTGCCTGGACTATCTGTGAATCCCCCTATTTTCCCTGCCTGGACTGTCCATGAATCCCCCTATTCTCTCTGCCTGGACTGTCCATGAATCCCCCTATTCTCTCTGCCTGGACTGTCCATGAATCCCCCTATTCTCTCTGCCTGGACTATCTGTGAATCCCACTATTTTCCCTGCCTGGACTATCCGTGAATCTCCCTATTTTCCCTGCCTGGACTGTCCGTGAATCTCCCTCCTTTCCCTGCCTGGACTGTCCGTGAATCTCCCTCCTTTCCCTGCCTGGACTGTCCGTGAATATCCCTCCTTTCCCTGCCTGGACTGTCCATGAATCCCCCTATTCTCTCTGCCTGGACTGTCCATGAATCCCTCTATTCTCTCTGCCTGGACTGTCCATGAATCCCCCCTATTCTCTCTGCCTGGACTATCTGTGAATCCCACTATTTTCCCTGCCTGGACTATCCGTGAATCTCCCTATTTTCCCTGCCTGGACTATCCGTGAATCTCCCTACTTTCCCTGCCTGGACTGTCCGTGAATATCCCTCCTTTCCCTGCCTGGACTATCTGTGAATCCCCCTATTCTCTCTGCCTGGACTATCCGTGAATCTCCCTCCTTTCCCTGCCTGGACTATCCATGAATCTCCCTATTTTCCCTGCCTGGACTATCCATGAATCTCCCTATTTTCCCTGCCTGGACTATCCGTGAATCTCTCTATTTTCCCTGCCTGGACTATCCGTGAATATCCCTCCTTTCCCTGCCTGGACTATCTGTGAATCTCCCTCCTTTCCCTGCCTGGACTATCCATGAATTCCCCTATTTTCCCTGCCTGGACTATCCGTGAATCTCTCTATTTTCCCTGCCTGGACTATCCGTGAATATCCCTTCTTTCCCTGCCTGGACTATCTGTGAATCCCACTATTTTCCCTGCCTGGACTATCCGTGAATCTCCCTCCTTTCCCTGCCTGGACTGTCCGTGAATCTCCCTATTTTCCCTGCCTGGACTATCCGTGAATATCCCTCCTTTCCCTGCCTGGACTATCCATGAATCTCCCTATTTTCCCTGCCTGGACTATCCGTGAATATCCCTCCTTTCCCTGCCTGGACTATCTGTGAATCCCCCTATTTTCCCTGCCTGGACTGTCCATGAATCCCCCTATTCTCTCTGCCTGGACTGTCCATGAATCCCCCTATTCTCTCTGCCTGGACTATCTGTGAATCCCACTATTTTCCCTGCCTGGACTATCCGTGAATCTCCCTATTTTCCCTGCCTGGACTGTCCGTGAATCTCCCTCCTTTCCCTGCCTGGACTGTCCGTGAATATCCCTCCTTTCCCTGCCTGGACTGTCCATGAATCCCCCTATTCTCTCTGCCTGGACTGTCCATGAATCCCCCTATTCTCTCTGCCTGGACTGTCCATGAATCCCCCTATTCTCTCTGCCTGGACTGTCCATGAATCCCCCTATTCTCTCTGCCTGGACTATCTGTGAATCCCACTATTTTCCCTGCCTGGACTATCCGTGAATCTCCCTATTTTCCCTGCCTGGACTATCCGTGAATCTCCCTACTTTCCCTGCCTGGACTGTCCGTGAATATCCCTCCTTTCCCTGCCTGGACTATCTGTGAATCCCCCTATTCTCTCTGCCTGGACTATCCGTGAATCTCCCCTCCTTTCCCTGCCTGGACTATTAAATGAATCCCCCTATTTTCCCTGCCTGGACTATCCATGAATCCCCCTATTTTCCCTGCCTGGACTATCCATGAATCCCCCTATTTTCCCTGCCTGGACTATCCATGAATCTCTCTATTTCCCTGCCTGGACTATCCGTGAATATCCCTCCTTTCCCTGCCTGGACTATCTGTGAATCCCCCTATTTTCCCTGCCTGGACTGTCCATGAATCCCCCTATTCTCTCTGCCTGGACTGTCCATGAATCCCCCTATTCTCTCTGCCTGGACTGTCCATGAATCCCCCTATTCTCTCTGCCTGGACTATCTGTGAATCCCACTATTTTCCCTGCCTGGACTATCCGTGAATCTCCCTATTTTCCCTGCCTGGACTGTCCGTGAATCTCCCTCCTTTCCCTGCCTGGACTGTCCGTGAATCTCCCTCCTTTCCCTGCCTGGACTGTCCGTGAATATCCCTCCTTTCCCTGCCTGGACTGTCCATGAATCCCCCTATTCTCTCTGCCTGGACTGTCCATGAATCCCTCTATTCTCTCTGCCTGGACTGTCCATGAATCCCCCTATTCTCTCTGCCTGGACTATCTGTGAATCCCACTATTTTCCCTGCCTGGACTATCCGTGATCTCCCTATTTTCCCTGCCTGGACTATCCGTGAATCTCCCTACTTTCCCTGCCTGGACTGTCCGTGAATATCCCTCCTTTCCCTGCCTGGACTATCTGTGAATCCCCCTATTCTCTCTGCCTGGACTATCCGTGAATCTCCCTCCTTTCCCTGCCTGGACTATCCATGAATCTCCCTATTTTCCCTGCCTGGACTATCCATGAATCTCCCTATTTTCCCTGCCTGGACTATCCGTGAATCTCTCTATTTTCCCTGCCTGGACTATCCGTGAATATCCCTCCTTTCCCTGCCTGGACTATCTGTGAATCTCCCTCCTTTCCCTGCCTGGACTATCCATGAATTCCCCTATTTTCCCTGCCTGGACTATCCGTGAATCTCTCTATTTTCCCTGCCTGGACTATCCGTGAATATCCCTTCTTTCCCTGCCTGGACTATCTGTGAATCCCACTATTTTCCCTGCCTGGACTATCCGTGAATCTCCCTCCTTTCCCTGCCTGGACTGTCCGTGAATCTCCCTATTTTCCCTGCCTGGACTATCCGTGAATATCCCTCCTTTCCCTGCCTGGACTATCCATGAATCTCCCTATTTTCCCTGCCTGGACTATCCGTGAATATCCCTCCTTTCCCTGCCTGGACTATCTGTGAATCCCCCTATTTTCCCTGCCTGGACTGTCCATGAATCCCCCTATTCTCTCTGCCTGGACTGTCCATGAATCCCCCTATTCTCTCTGCCTGGACTATCTGTGAATCCCACTATTTTCCCTGCCTGGACTATCCGTGAATCTCCCTATTTTCCCTGCCTGGACTGTCCGTGAATCTCCCTCCTTTCCCTGCCTGGACTGTCCGTGAATATCCCTCCTTTCCCTGCCTGGACTGTCCATGAATCCCCCTATTCTCTCTGCCTGGACTGTCCATGAATCCCCCTATCTCTCTCTGCCTGGACTGTCCATGAATCCCCCTATTCTCTCTGCCTGGACTGTCCATGAATCCCCCTATTCTCTCTGCCTGGACTATCTGTGAATCCCACTATTTTCCCTGCCTGGACTATCCGTGAATCTCCCTATTTTCCCTGCCTGGACTATCCGTGAATCTCCCTACTTTCCCTGCCTGGACTGTCCGTGAATATCCCTCCTTTCCCTGCCTGGACTATCTGTGAATCCCCCTATTCTCTCTGCCTGGACTATCCGTGAATCTCCCTCCTTTCCCTGCCTGGACTATTAAATGAATCCCCCTATTTTCCCTGCCTGGACTATCCATGAATCCCCCTATTTTCCCTGCCTGGACTATCCATGAATCCCCCTATTTTCCCTGCCTGGACTATCCATGAATCTCTCTATTTTCCCTGCCTGGACTATCCGTGAATATCCCTCCTTTCCCTGCCTGGACTATCCGTGAATCTCCCTCCTTTCCCTGCCTGGACTATCCGTGAATCTCCCTCCTTTCCCTGCCTGGACTATCCATGAATCCCCCTATTTTCCCTGCCTGGACTATCCGTGAATCTCTCTATTTTCCCTGCCTGGACTATCCGTGAATATCCCTCCTTTCCCTGCCTGGACTATCTGTGAATCCCACTATTTTCCCTGCCTGGACTATCCGTGAATCTCCCTCCTTTCCCTGCCTGGACTATCCATGAATCCCCCTATTTTCCCTGCCTGGACTATCCGTGAATATCCCTCCTTTCCCTGCCTGGACTATCTGTGAATCCCACTATTTTCCCTGCCTGGACTATCCGTGAATCTCCCTCCTTTCCCTGCCTGGACTATCCATGAATTCCCCCTATTTTCCCTGCCTGGACTGTCCATGAATCCCCCTATTCTCTCTGCCTGGACTGTCCATGAATCCCCCTATTCTCTCTGCCTGGACTGTCCATGAATCCCTCTATTCTCTCTGCCTGGACTGTCCATGAATCCCCCTATTCTCTCTGCCTGGACTATCTGTGAAAACCCACTATTTTCCCTGCCTGGACTATCCGTGAATCTCCCTCCTTTCCCTGCCTGGACTATCCATGAATCCCCCTATTTTCCCTGCCTGGACTATCCGTGAATATCCCTCCTTTCCCCTGCCTGGACTGTCCATGAATCCCCCTATTCTCTCTGCCTGGACTGTCCATGAATCCCTCTATTCTCTCTGCCTGGACTGTCCATGAATCCCCCTATTCTCTCTGCCTGGACTATCTGTGAATCCCACTATTTTCCCTGCCTGGACTATCCGTGAATCTCCCTATTTTCCCTGCCTGGACTATCCGTGAATCTCCCTATTTTCCCTGCCTGGACTATCCGTGAATCTCTCTATTTTCCCTGCCTGGACTATCCGTGAATATCCCTCCTTTCCCTGCCTGGACTATCTTTGAATCCCACTATTTTCCCTGCCTGGACTATCCGTGAATCTCCCTCCTTTCCCTGCCTGGACTATCCATGAATCCCCCTATTTTCCCTGCCTGGACTATCCGTGAATATCCCTCCTTTCCCTGCCTGGACTATCCGTGAATCTCCCTATTTTCCCTGCCTGGACTATCCGTGAATCTCCCTCCTTTCCCTGCCTGGACTATCCATGAATCCCCCTATCTTCCCTGCCTGGACTATCCGTGAATCTCCCTCCTTTCCCTGCCTGGACTATCCGTGAATATCCCTCCTTTCCCTGCCTGGACTATCCGTGAATCTCCCTATTTTCCCTGCCTGGACTGTCCGTGAATCTCCCTATTTTCCCTGCCTGGACTGTCCGTGAATCTCCCTATCTTCCTTGCCTGGACTATCCTCTTCCCCTTTTTTGGGTACACAGACGCTACCTTCCTACCCTGATTGTCTCCCAGATTTCAATAAAACTCTGTGTTTATCATGCTCCGTGTGTGTTCTGTCCTGCCTACGCTTCCATCACATGAACCATGTAGGCCAGCTTTGGGAGCAAGATATATTATCATCAACTCCTCCCCCTGAAGGGGTTCATCTACGTATTACCTCCTCTGCTGCCAGATCCAGGAACGTCTCCTCTCTACTTCCTCATTCATGGAACTTCCTGTCTATACCTGACATCACTTCCTGTCTGTACCTGATATCACTTCCTGCCTTTACCTGACATCATTTCCTGTCTTCCATAGAGACTTCTTGTCTGGGTAGAAGTGAGATCCCCACCTTGTGGAGCTCAGAGGAACTGCAGCCCCAAGAAGCGTCTGGTAGTGTGACCCCGGCCTTGTGCTGGGTGTGTATGGACTGTAGATCCTTATAGAGGGGTCACCTCCACTCCCACCAAGGGGGACAGAAATATATGACTGCTCGGGGGAGGGGTTTTGGCCCACAAGGTGGGGATCTCACTTCTACCCAGACAGGAATTCTCTATGGAAGACAGACAGGAAGTGATGTCAGGTAAAGACAGGAAGTGATGCCAGGTACAGACAGGAAGTGATATCAGGTACAGACAGGAAGTGATGTCAGGTAAATACAGGAAGTTCCAGGGGATATGTGAGTAAGCAGGAAGTAGAGAGGAGACATTCCTGGATGTGGCAGCAGAGGAGGTAATACGTAGATGAACCCTTCAGGGGGAGGAGTTGATGATAATATATTTGCTCCCAAAGCTGGCCTACATGGTTCAGTTTTATCGTTCAGCCAGCGGGATGACCATAAAAACTGAAGTGATTCCCCCATCCACACATTGGAGGTGGATGGGGGAATCCTCCCCGCTGCACTCTTGTATTCTGACAATGGGGGGACTCCTCCGCTCTCAGAATACACGGATCAGCACTGAAGCTATTGGCTGTAGCCGCTGGAGGAGTGGCTTTTATCCGGCAGTGGCCACACATGGATAGAAATGTGAGCGATCCCTGCTGAACCAGCTGAATTTCCATGGATCTATGGTCACCTTCAGTGACTTCCTCCCCTCCCCCTCATCTCCTTCATGATGGAAGTCATGCTGAGATCATCTCCCATTGGCTGAGCAATATTCTCATTTGTCTCTCAGCTCCTTCTTGCTATTCCTCGTCCTGCCTGTTGTTTCCTTGGATTGATTTTCTGTGTAGTGACCCCGGCTTGGTCTCTTGGATGCGCTCGTCTGTTGCTTGCCCTGACCTTTCTCCTGATTCCTGGATCTCCTCCTCATCTCTCCTCCATATCCTCTTACACAGCTTTTCTCCACACCTGCAGTGACCCTGGGGGGAGGAAACTTGGCACCAGCACGCCGCCAAATCCATCCCCACCATTAGGGGCTCTGGAGACAATTGTCTGCTATTTACACTCCGTTCCTCCGCACGTCACCTGATCACATGACAGCTTACTTCCACAGATTCCGGACAGATTTCTGGATGGTAAAGGTCAAAGTTCACTCTTCAGTTTAGGAGAGGTAGGACACACCCAGGAACAAGGTATTGGTTTGCATAGGAGCCTCATATAGAGGACCCCTCAAATCTCCCCATCCAAGTATCCCTCCATCCAGAGTCTATATGTCCTATGACATCACACTGACCTCACAGCTCCTCCTCCCAATGTCCCCTCCATCCAGAGTCAGAGAATCCTATGACATCACACTGATCTCACAGCTCCTCCCCCCAATGTCCCTCCATCTAGAGTCAGAGAATCCTATGACATCACACTGACCTCACAGCCCCTCCTCCCAATGTCCCTCCATCCAGAGTCAGAGAATCCTATGACACCACACTGACCTCACAGCTCCTCCCAATGTCCCTCCATCCAGAGTCAGAGAATCCTATGACATCACACTGACCTCACAGCTCCTCCCCCCAATGTCCCTCCATCCAGCTCTTTTTTCTTTTATCCAGTACTCTTTACATCCCTTTACATCCTCACAACTAAAGCAGAACTGTTGATCCTTCATTTCATGTAATGATGTCAGAATTCCTTATAGCTCAGCCTGAAGTGGGGCTTTAATAAAATGGAGACGTGAATGGAGAGGTGAGGAGGATTCTGGGAATATCATTTGATGTGACTATTTGTGTTCAGATGTAGAGTTTTCCTCCTGTGAAGTCTGGAGATCATATGACATCACATTGCCCTCCACCTCCCTCCCTGATAGAAGAGAGAAAGAAGAAGAAGATTCTAGAAGTCACCAGAGAGATCACTGAGCTGCTGACAGGAGAGGTGAGCGGTGCCGGGAATTCTGGGACATTCTCCAGTAACAGACAAGGGATGTGTCTGGATGGTGACTGTATCATTGTGTGTGTCAGGTTCCTATAAGGTGTCAGGGTGTCACTGTCTATTTCTCCATGGAGGAGTGGGAGTATTTAGAAGGACACAAGGATCTCTACAAGGACGTCATGATGGACAATCAGCCGCCCCTCACATCACCGGGTAAGAGGAGACTTTATTGTAAAGGAGAGAGCAGTACGGAGGATCCACCTAGATCCCCCATCATCTGATAAACACATAGAAACAATGGATTCAGTCAGTGTGTGTGTTTCCTACAGATGGATCCAGTCATGGGAACCCACCAGAGAGATGTCCCCGTCCTCTGTATTCCCGGGATTCCACACAGGAAGGTCACACCATCCCTCACCATCATCAGGTAGATGATGACAATTATTGGTAGTTGTGATTTATACACAGCATGTTTGTTACAATGAATGTTTTATTATATCTTTCAGAGTGGAATCCTCGGGATGATGATAATATTGATGTTAAAGAAGAGTATAAAGAGGAGGATGAGGAGTATGGAGTGATGGAGGAGTTTTCAGAAGGACACAAGGATATGATGGAGCCACCTAATACCAGGAACCCACCAGAGAGATGTCCCCGTCCTCTGTATTCCTGGGATTCCACACAGGAAGGTCACACCATCCCTCACTATTACAAGGTTGGTGGGATGGAGTATCTAGAACATGGACTTGTAGGGGTGATGTGTGAATTTTTTAATGTGATATTTTCTCTCATTTCCTTGATTTAGAGTGGAGATCCAATCGATATAGAATTTGAGGTGAAAGCAGAAGAAGAAGAGGCGTATGTGAGGGATGATCAGCAGTCTATGGAGGAGGATGGAATAACGGGGACATTTATAGAGGAGGACACTCCTACAGAGATCAGCACAGGTGGGTCATGAACACTAAATCCATTCCTCCACCCATACTGCTCACTGATTGGTCCAGAGTAGGGCGGGGACTGGGTGATATCAGCCTGTAATCCCCTGGTCACTTTCCTGAGCTGTGTTCCCCGTCCTGTATTCCTGGATTTCTCTCGGATAATCTTCCTTCTCTGTGCTGCAGACACAATTTATGTATCAGTTCTGGTTGTTTCCTCACTCTCTGACTAAGGTCCATGAATAAAGAAATGACCTGGTAGGAGATCAGAGGAGCCATTTCCTAGTTCCCTTGAGGGTGGAATTGTAAGCTCCTCAGAGACCAAGCTGCCTGATGTGGGCGGAGTCCTGGTTTGGGGGAACCAATCAGCTCCTTTCTAGTAATCCTCTTTGTCTTTGTATTTTAGTCCATGGCCGGGAGATGAGGAAAACCTCCGAGGATTGTCTCACTTTGTCTCCAGACTGGAAAGTAGAAGATGAGGACATCACACAGTATAGTCCAGGAGAAAACCCGGCTCCCTCCAATGTTCATCCGGCACCACCCAGTGTAGATGGACCATCGGATTCCTCGTATCCTGAGGAACCACAGACTGTGCGGGACCGGGCCGGCCTTCCAACAGAGAAGAGGTTTCCCTGTACTGAGTGCAGGAAGAGTTTCCATTTTAAATCCCATCTTAACGTACATATAAGATCTCACACAGGGGAAAAACCACATTCCTGTCCAGAGTGTGGGAAATTTTTCCATTTTAAATCGGGTCTTTATGTGCATAAAAGGACTCACATAGGTGAGAAGCCATTTTCGTGTCCTGAGTGCGGGAAATGTTTTTCACAAAAGTCCAATCTTGAAATACATCGGTTTCTGCATACAGGTGAGAAGCCATATTCCTGTTCTGAGTGCATGAAATGTTTTTCCCAGATGTCCACTCTTTACAGACATCAGAGATCTCACATGGGGGAGAAGCCATATTCCTGTCTTGAGTGCGGTAAATGTTTTGCGCAGAAGTCCAATCTTCATATACATCAGAGATCTCACACGGGGGAGAAACCATATTCTTGTTATGAGTGTGGAAAATGTTTTGTACAAAAATCAGAACTTGCCAGACATCAGAGAACTCACACGGGGGAGAAGCCGTATTCCTGTCCATGTTGTGGGAAATGTTTTTCAATGAAGTCAAATCTTTCCACACATCAGAGAGATCTCACACAGGAGAGAAGCCGTATTTCTGTCCTGAGTGCGGGAAATGTTTTTCACAGAAGACCAGTCTTTCCAGACATCAGAAATCTCACACAGAGGAGACGCAAATTTCCTGTCCTGAGTGAGGGAAATGTTCCTCACTGAAGTCCTGTCTTCCTGTACTTCAGGGGTCCCACACAACCCTGGAGGTGTATTAGTGCCTTGAGTGCGGGAAATGTCTTCTAGATGAATGTTGCTGGACATCCCAGCTCTCATGTGGGGAAGAAGCACACCCTGATATACACCTCAGATATACTCCATGGCTGATCTTCATCATGGAAGGAACAGTTCATAAGGAGATCAGAGGTCCCCAAAGACATGGATGAAGTGTGGGACCGGGTTGGCCAGTGATGGCAGGAGAAGAATAAAAACGGAGTCCTGCCCTGTGATTGGCTGAGTACATTTTGTGGTGGGAGATTTCACACTTGGAGGTGTGATTTATAAACAAAATAACTGAACAGATGTGATCCACATTCTCCAAGATGAATGTTGGCTGGATTTTATTTTATATTCGGATTTCCTGGGTTCCATCTAGTGGCCATATTTGTGCATTGAACTGAATTGTGGGAAACGTTTCCCATTATGGGGTAGATGGAAGCGACCATAATAGAAAATCCCGGAGTTACATTCCCTCCAGGATCTGGATGAATTTTGGTCACATACGCTCAGTGAATTCTTGGTACATAGACCCCTCCCTTGGTCTCCTGGCCAGGCCGGGATCTGGTCACATGCGCTCAGTGAATTCTTGGTACATAGACCCCTCCCTTGGTCTCCTGGGCCAGGCCGGGACCTGGTCACACGGGCTCAGTGAATTCTTGGTACATAGACCCCTCCCTTGGTCTCCTGGCCAGGCCGGGATCTGGTCACATGCGCTCAGTGAATTCTTGGTACATAGACCCCTCCCTTGGTCTCCTGGGCCAGGCCGGGACCTGGTCACACGGGCTCAGTGAATTCTTGGTACATAGACCCCTCCCTTGGTCTCCTGGCCAGGCCGGGATCTGGTCACATGCGCTCAGTGAATTCTTGGTACATAGACCCCTCTTTTGGTCTCCTGGGCCAGGCCGGGATCTGGTCCCATGGACTCAGTGAATTCTTGGCACATAGACCCCTCCCTTGGTCTCCTGGGCCAGGCCGGGATCTGGTCACACGCTCAGTGAATTCTTGGTACATAGACCCCTCCCTTGGTCTCCTGGGCCAGGCCGGGATCTGGTCACACGCGCTCAGTGAATTCTTAGTACATTGACCCCTCCCTTGGTCTCCTGGGCCAGGCCAGGATCTGGTCACACGCGCTCAGTGAATTCTTGGTACATAGACCCCTCCCTTGGTCTCCTGGGCCAGGTCGGGATCTGGTCACACGCGCTCAGTGAATTCTTAGTACATAGACCCCTCCCTTGGTCTCCTGGGCCAGGCCGGGATCTGGTCACACGCGCTCAGTGAATTCTTGGTACATAGACCCCTCCCTTGGTCTCCTGGGCCAGGCTGGGTTCCATCCAAATCGCTGAGATCATTCTCCCGCACTTCTTAGTCCAGCACACACTGAGGGATGTCAGTCATTAACCCCGTCACACCTAAGGGGAAAACACATGTTAATGCCTAAGCACAATTTTACAACTTTGACCTGTTAGTAAACCCGTCCGTATCATCACACCTACTTTGTACATCGGGGTGGATTTATACCGCACTGTTTTCTATTAACAAAGGAAAACTGACCTAAAAATTGTAAACAAAACATGTTTATTTAATGTAGCTGTGTGTTTCTTGCTGCTACCATAACCAACTACCAAAGAACAACCCAAAATCATTCCTCCAGGTCCTGCCGATGGCAGGGATCCCACACATGTATGTTAGTTGTTGTTTGTACCCGCAGTACAGCCCACACACCATACGGAGCATTTTGCTGCGACTTTTATCCTGACACTAACTGACTCTGACACTAATTTCAACATCAAAATAAAAATCCTCACAAAAAAATAATACTGACCCTGACTCTTGAACTTGACCCTTTGACCCTGACCTTGACCCAAACACTACCCCTGACACTGACCTACATCAAGCCTTCATCTAGGTATTTTTATTTATTTATCCCTCCCTCCTGACCGGGCCATTTTTTGCGATATGGTGGTGCTGCGTTACTTTAATGGACAATTGAGTGGTCATGCAACGCTGCACCCTAATGAATTTGCCTCTGTAAAAAAAATGTCATGATAAATTTAGGGCAAAATGTATTCTGCTCCATGTCTTTGCTAAAACAAATCCCAATACATGTAAATTAATTGGTTTACATGAAAGTTATAGCGTCTACAAATGGCGGTGTAGATACTGGGATTTTTTTTTTCTAATACTAGTAATGGTCAGTGACTTATAGCAGGACTGCAGTGGGTATTCTGGTACTGGAGGAAACTGACTTGGTGTCACTGACATCTCCAGTGACACCAATACAGTGATCAGTGCTAATAAAAAGCACTGACACTGTACTAATGGCACTGGGCAGGAAGGGGTTAACATTTGGGATGATCAAAGGGTTAACTGTGTGCTTTTTCACTATGGGGGCTGTGTGTGTGCTTCACTGTGTGCACACTGCTATGCAGAACCATACAAAGCAGTGCGCAGGAGCTGACAGGGGAGAGATCTGTATTGTTTATACACAGGTCTCTCACCCATCGGTGATACACAGCAATTGCCGGGTGCCGGCAGGGAATCACTGTCTGGGATCCAGTGATTGACAGCTGAGGCCACCAATGGTGGCGCAGGTAGGGCATGCACATGTGGCTCACACGTGCCCCCTACCCAGAAGTGCAAAATCATGTATATGTACATGAATTTACACACCCCTCTGCCCTGTAGTAGTATTTCTGCTATATGGTGGTGGGAAAGCGGTTAATATATTTATTTATATACACTTTTAACACACACTTTTTTTTCTTTCAGAAATGACAGAGAGAGATACAATGTATAATAGAATGTATATAATGATACGATGTATAATAGAATGTATATAATGATACAATGTATAATAGGATGTATATAATGATACAATGTATAATAGAATGTATATAATGATACAATGTATAATAGGATGTACAGTCAGGTCCATAAATATTGGGACATGGACACAATTCTAACATTTTTGTCTCTATACACCACCACAATGGATTTGAAATGAAACAAACAAGATGTGCTTTAACTGAAGACTGTCAGCTTTAATTTGAGGGTATTTACATCCAAATCAGGTGAACGGTGTAGGAATTACAACAGTTTGCATATATGCCTCCCACTTGTTAAGAGACCAAAAGTAATGGGACAGAATAATAATCATAAATCAAACTTTCACTTTTTAATACTTGGTTGCAAATCCTTTGCAGTCAATGACAGCCTGAAGTGTGGAACGCATAGACATCACCAGACGCTGGGTGTCATCCCTGGTGATGCTCTGCCAGGCCTCTACTGCAACTGTCTTCAGTTCCTGCTTGTTCTTGAGGCATTTTCCCTTCAGTTTTGTCTTCAGCAAGTGAAATGCTCAATCGGATTCAGGTCAGGTGATGGACTTGGCCATTGCATAACATTCCACTTCTTTCCCTTAAAAAACTCTTTGGTGTCTTTTGCAGTCTGCTTTGGGTCATTGTCCATCTGCACTGTGAAGCGTCCAATGAGTTGTGAAGCATTTGGCTGAATATGAGCAGATAATATTCCCGAAACACTTCACAATTCATCCGGCTGCTTTTGTCAGCAGTCACATCATCAATAAATACAAGAGAAGCAGTTCCATTGGCAGCCATACATGCCCACGCCATGACACTACCACCACCATGATCACTGATGAGGTGGTATGCTGAGGATCATGAGCAGTTCCTTCTCCATACTCTTCTCTTCCCATCACTCTGGTACAAGTTGATGTCGGTCTCATCTGTCCATAGGATGTTGTTCCAGAACTGTGAAGGCTTTTTTACATGTCGTTTGGCAAACTCTAATCTGGCCTTCCTGTTTTTGAGGCTCACCAATGGTTTCCATCTTGTGGTGAACCCTCTGTATTCACTCTGGTGAAGTCTTCTCTTGATTGGTGACTTTGACACACATACACCTACCTCCTGGAGAGTGTTCTTGATCTGGCCAACTGTTGTGAAGGGTGTTTTCTTCACCAGGGAAAGAATTCTTCAGTCATCCACCACAGTTGTTTTCCGTGGTCTTCCGGGTCTTTTGGTGTTGCTGAGCTCACCGGTGCGTTCCTTCTTTTTAAGAATGTTCCAAACAGTTGTTTTGGCCACGCCTAATATTTTTGCTATCTCTCTGATGGGTTTGTTTTGTTTTTTCAGCGTAATGATGGCTTCACTGATAGTGACAGCTCTTTGGATCTCATCTTGAGACTTGACAGCAACAGATTCCAAATGCAAATAGCACACTTGAAATGAACTCTGGACCTTTTATCTGCTCATTGTAATTGGGATAATGAGGGAATAACACACACCTGGCCATGGAACAGCTGAGAAGCCAATTGTCCCATTACTTTTGGTCCCTTAACAAGTGGGAGGCACATATGCAAACTGTTGTAATTCCTACACCGTTCACCTGATTTGGATGTAAATACCCTCAAATTAAAGCTGACAGTCTGCAGTTAAAGCACATCTTGTTTGTTTCATTTCAAATCCATTGTGGTGGTGTATAGAGCCAAAAATGTGAGAATTGTGTCGATGTCCCAATATTTATGGACCTGACTGTATATAATGATACAATGTGTAATATAATGTATATAATGATACAATGTATAATAGAATGTATATAATGATACAATGTATAATGGAATGTATATAATGATACAATGTGTAATAGAATGTATATAATGATACAATGTATAATAGAATGTATATAATGATACAATGTACAACTGGGATGTATATAATGATACAATGTATAATGGGATGTATATAATCATACAATGTATAATAGAATGTATATAATGATACAATGTGTAATATAATGTATATAATGATACAATGTGTAATATAATGTATATAATGATACAATGTATAATAGGATGTATATAATGATACAATGTGTAATATGATGTATATAATGATACAATGTATAATATGATGTATATAATGATACAA